GAGGACTACATCCCAGATCCGAATCCCTAATTAGCATACGCTACATATCCGGTTCTATTGTCCCCCATTTGTCGATGCTCCCCCTCATTGTTCTGTATCTTTCCCCCACCGCTTGGTCTGCCCTCACCTGGAATAAACCTTTCGTCTACCTCACCCACAACTACAACAACTGGCGAGCAAGGATTCGAAGACATGGCCGACCCCGAGATCAAGGCGCTGATGCAGCAGATGTGGTATCGGTGGCCGTCGACATGTGGTTGGAATAGTCAAGAGGTGGACGAGTGTCCTGCACATTGACATCGGTACTGGGAAGATCGAATTCATCCAGAATATCGTGCAATACGTCTCGAACGTATCGACGACGCAGCTGATTGGCATGTCGGCGCCAAGAATCTCCAGAGGGAAGCTCAACCTCATACAGAGACTTTCCAAGTAGCTTGGAAATACGCCCTTCGACCCAGGCTGGTTTGTTAGGCTTTCGATAGTCGCGAACCCAAACCGTGGCGTCGATCTCAAACGATCTCTTGCGAGCACCGTGACGCCGGTTGTATTGCTCAACCATCGTCGTCTTCTCCTCTTTTGAAGAACGACTTGGACATTGCCGTTGCTCGATGGAAGAGCCAAACGCGCAATAGGAGTAACAAGCTTTCTCCCGATAAACAATTCAGCCGGAGAGAACTGTTGTGGTGAAGAGGGGCATGGAGTGGCCCGATACGTTCGCAAAAAAGACTTGCAACGTTTCCGCATTCGTCGAACCAGCGGCTTTGCTCAGGGCACGCTTAAAGGTATCGACGAAGCGTTCAGCCAAACCGTTCGACTGAGGGTGGAACGGAGGCGTGCGTACATGCTTTATGCCACGCTCCATACAGAACTCTTCGAACTCCTTCGAAGTGAATTGAGTCCCATTGTCCGAAACAAGCGTTTCCGGATCTCCGAACCTTGAGAAGATGTCTCTCAACTGGGCAATCGTCGTACGACTGGTGGCGACCTTACAATCGTGGATCTCTGGCCAACGAGAGTAGGCATCAACGAATACCAGGTACATTCTCCCGTCAATGGGACCTGCGTAGTCAATATGTACGCGTTCCATCGGACGATTGGGAACAGGCCAGGGGGTCAATTCACTTTTCACAGGCATCTTCTGCGCTTTCTGGCAGCCCTCGCATTCTCGGACAATGCGGTCGATGTCTGTATCCATGCCGATCCAATAGACATATTGTTTCGCAAGGAGTTTCATTCTGGTCTGACCAGGATGTCCTTCGTGGAGCATTTTCAGGACTCGCGATTGAAGTCTCTTCGGGACGACAACTCGCTCTTTCAGGAATAGGCAACCCTTGTGAATTGACAAGTTGGAAACAAGACTTTTGAAGGCGTACAAAGACGAGCCTGGCAAACAGTCTGGGAATATTCCACTTTTCAGATGTTCAATCACAGTGCCAAGGTGGTAGTCCTGCTCCGTTTGTGATGCAATTTCCTTGTGCGAAATTGGAACTCGGCTCAGTTTTTCCTCAAAAACTGCTGATACGTCGATTTCTATCTGCGAAATAACGACGTCTTCGTCAGGTTCAGCTTTTGGCGGAATCAGACGGGAAAGCGCATCCGCTTGACCGAACTTGGTCGTGTTACGATATTCGATGGAGAAATCGTAGTTGTTCAACAACAAGCACCAACGCTGCAATCGATTTGCGGTGTGCTGTGGAATGCCTTTTTTCGACCCGTATATTGGCAAAAGGGGCTTGTGGTCCGTCAGGAGCACGAAACGCCTTCCATAGATGTATCGATGGAAGCGCCGAATCGCGAAAATGAGGGCCAAGCCTTCCTTTTCGATCTGGCTGTAGTTCTTCTCTGCCACAGTCAATGCCCTGCTGGCATGCGCGATGGCCTTTTCCGACCCATCCGCAAATCTGTGAGTGATGACCGCCCCAAGACCCTGCTCACTGGCATCAGCGGCGACGACAATGGGTAACTCGGCGTCATAGTGACAGAGCAACAAGTCGGAGATGACAATCTCCTTGAGCGACTGGAAAGCCTTTTCGCAGTCCTCATGCCAGACAAACTTTTTGTCCTTCCTCTTCAACTCGTCAAGCGGAGCGCGCATCTGCCGCATACGAGGAATGAATGACTGGTAAAATGATACCATGCCCAAAAAGCTCTCAACTTCCTTGAGACAGGTAGGTGATGGCATACTTGCTATCGCAGCCGTGCGTTGGCCATCCGGCCTTCGGCCTTGGGCATCGAGAATGAAGCCAAGATACTTCACCGAAGGCTGGCCGAACGAGCACTTTTCCATTTTGACGCGCAATCCGAACTCTTGGATTCGCTCAAATAAACGACGGACCCTGTCGTCATGCTCCTCCTGGTTCCGGCCGGTGATCAACAGATCATCCAGGTAGGCAGCGGTCCCGTCCAGGCCTGCGATCAAGTTATCCACGATCTTCTGGAATATTCCGGGTGCAGTTTTGACTCCAAATATCAGCCTTTGATATTGGAACAAGCCCTTATGAGTGTGGATTGTCAGGTATTCTTGGCTCTCAGCCTCAACCTCAATCTGTAGGTACGCATCTTTCAGATCAATCTGCGAAAAGATCTGTCCACCATTCAGCTTGGTGAAGATATCTTCGGCGGTTGGGAGCGGATGATGGTAATCCTCCAACGCCTCGTTCAAGCCTGTGGAGAAGTCACCACAAAGTCTCATGGTACCGTCCTTCTTCTTGACTGGGACGACGGGCGCGGCCCACTGACTGTAAGTGACCGGTTTGAGGACCGTCAACTGTACAAGTCGGTCGATTTCCTTCTCAATGGCAGCTTCCATTGAATACGCGACCCGTCGGAACGGTAGGAAAACTGGCTTTGCATCAGGCTTCAGCTGAAGCTCAGCCTTGGCCATTGTGCACAAGCCCAGTCCATCTTGGAAGACACTTGGGTACTTCAGGACCAGCTCCTTCTCGAGCATTGACTTTTTCAGTGCGACCTTGTTCACGCACAACTCATCGAAGCACGAAGCGAACTGTGGCAACTGATTTATCCAATCAAGCCCCATCAATCTGATATTCTTTGTGACAAAGCACTTGCCATGACCGACAATGCCTTTCACTTCGAAATTGGTATCGAAGCTTCCTTGCACTTCAATTGGACCGCCATTTGCAGCGCGTAATTGAATATTGGATGGAATCAGCTGGGGGCAGTTCAATTTGCGCCAAACAGCTTCATCGATGATGGTGACTGCTGCACCAGTGTCCAATTGCAAAGTGAAGCGAACGCCTTCGATTGAGAGCTCGACGTCTTTCCGACTCGAGTCTACGGCATTGATATGAACAACCATGTTCACTTTCGGCTTCCAGTCTTTGGCTTGGTGATTTTTCGACTTTGAAAAATTAGCACCGCGGTTATTGCCAGGGTCTGCGCGACACTCTCTTGCCCAGTGTCCGCTCTTTCCACAACGATTACAGTTGTCATTCCGCTTGTCTCGCGGGGACCGATCATTGGTTTCCGGTCGCGACGAGTAACCCTTGCTAGAGGTTGGCTCTCGCTCGCGTTTCCAATTCTTTCGGAAACCCGATTGCTGGTGAACGCGGTTCACGTTGGCATTTTGCATATTCTGCTCAACGACCATATCCATATTCAGGGAACTTTGCATATCGCATTCGCGTAGCAAATCGCTCAACTTGACACCATTCTTTGACTCCAGAATGTGCAACAGTCTCTTGCGGATCTCTCGATTTTCCTGATCGGAAAGTCCAGCAACGAACAACAGACATTTCGTCTCGTCCTCGTTCATCTCCTTGACACGACCAAGCTCGTACAGCTTGTTGACGCGTGCTGCGTAGGAGTGCATATCCTCGTCGGCTTCTTTGGCCACACGGAATGCCAGAAAACGTCGACTGAACTGCGACATTTTCTCACCGAACATGTCTGTCAGCGACTTGATCATGTCGGGATATTTCACGGCAGACAATTCCGTTGGTCTTTCGTGATCCGCTAGGAGGCTATAGGCTTTGCCATCCAGCATACTGAGAACAAGGTGTTTCTTGTTATCCTCAGTGATGCGCGGTTCCGTGGACACGAGGTTATCAAACCTCTCGAGCCACTTTTCGAACGTAAGACCCTGGGATGGGTCATAGTCGAACCGAACGAGTCGTGAGCAAAGGGCGCTCAGCTCGACCGCATCCAGAGGCCTGGGATGGCTTGGACCTGCGGATTTACCCAGAGGGTCTTCGCTAACTGTGCCCATGTGCGTTTGGGTCGCAGCGCGGTAGGCCTCGAGCTGTGCCTCCATCTTCTTCTCACGCTCCTGTCCTGCAGCCATCATCGCCGTCATCTGCTCTATTCTGTTGTACCCGCCCCCACTCTTGATGTACCTGTGCCCCGTGTTCCCCATCACCCCGCTCAACACCACACCATACCGGATAAGAAGACCTCCCCTGGACGCACCACGAAGTCGTCATCGGAGCGTTCCATCCCGGATCAGAAGGCCTCCCCTGGACGTACCACGAAATCGTCATCGGACCGTGCTCTCAAATCACGTGCTCAAGGACAACCCACTGCTGACGGACAAGCTGAAGACGTTCAGCCTCGAAACGCCAAGTCCAAGGAGTTGCAAAACCTCGGACCCATTCTCGACGGCAAGCGCGACCGAAAGAAGACTGTTCGCTTCCAACTTTGATGCGCCCCGCTCGTGTTCCACTCGACAAGTCAAGCGCAACCACGTCACCGACAAGTTCAATGGTCCCATGCTGATGTGCCACACTCGTTCCGCTACATCAAGTCAAGCCGTCATCGCCACCTCAAGTTCAACTCGTTCAAGTCCGACCGTCCGCAGCGCTCATCTTTGAAGGAGGGAGATGTTGGAGGACTACATCCCAGATCCGAATCCCTAATTAGCATACGCTACATATCCGGTTCTATTGTCCCCCATTTGTCGATGCTCCCCCTCATTGTTCTGTATCTTTCCCCCACCGCTTGGTCTGCCCTCACCTGGAATAAACCTTTCGTCTACCTCACCCACAACTACAACAAGAACGCACCATTTCGGATCGCGCCACCCGTGGGCCGCGGGGCCGAACTTGTAGACGAGCTTCTTGGGGTAGAGCCCGGTTTTCGGCACCGGCACCAGAATCTGCTTCTCGTAGTAGGTTCTGAACAGTTTCATCGTTGTTTCGTTATTGTGGGTTTTCGTTACAATCCTTACTAATTTAGTGAATGCTATTGGCTAGGACGTGAACTACAAACCTCATCGCCCGGGACAGCTTCTCGTAGGTCATCTTGTGGTTGTTCTTCTTCTCGCCCCAAAGCCGCGCCAGCTTCTCCGACTCGACGATGCGAAAGACGCCCTCGATCGGGTCTTCCCACCTTAAAAAGGGTATTACACATCGTTTTTAGTTTTTTTTTGGTTTTGAATTGGTTTTAGGGCCTAGAGGGCTTTTTCGTGTACTTTTCGCGCTGATTTTTCTAACGTCTAGCTTACCTGACGATGGTCGGGCAAGTCGAAGAATCTTTCAGCGCATCCCGGATGAACTCCCACAGCTTATTCCCCTTCGTGTGTTGCGAGCGCTTCCGCGGCCGACCATCCTTATTTCGAGTGACTTTCGAGTCGTCTTCTAAAATTTTTTATAACTAACATTTCCCGGTTTTTTCAGGCCATATTATCAAGAACCTACCATCGGAATCGTACTCGTCGTCTCGACTGGTGCCCGGCTGCTGTGACGTGTACTTTGACAGCAGGTCTACCGTACCTGGCGACAGACCCTGTGTGTTCATTGGCGAGCGCGGGGATAGGGCCGCCTGGAAGCAAAAAAAGGTATTTTTGCCTTGGGAACCGGTTATTTAGTGTTTTGGAAAACCGATTCCGAGGAGTTTCAACTTTCGACGATTTCAATATGACAAAAACTTACAAAGATAAAGAATTGATGACAAATAAGTAGATTTCGAGTGTGATTCTGGCTCCAAAATGAAATGGACAATGGAATTTAAAAGTTGCTTCTTTTTAGAGGACGAATTGTTCCGAACAATGATTAGTTAAATTTTAAAATCTAGCTTTTGTTGCCCCTTTAGATTTAAAACACGCTGATTTCGCAAAATAAAAATCTGAAGCTTGAAGCGCAAAAGCGGCGCTCGATGCGAATTTTGAAAGGGCGGCGATTCCAAAAACCTCCAAACAACGTTTCTAACCCCTTTAAAAATTCAAAAATCTCGGGGAAGGTCATTTTCAATACAATTCATAAAAAAATAAAGTTTGCAAGCTGTTTTTGAAAGCTGCGCTCGCAAATAACAACAATTTTTGTGGGTTCCGGCGGATATGTCAGAGCTTCGGATCTATCCGTTCTAGTCCCTTTAAAATTAAAAAAATGAATTGAGGATGTAAAAATGCCATTTGCAAACGACAAATAGGACTTGGCTGACCTGTATCTGCTGCAAGCCCAAATTCGTCGACAAATTCTGGAGGGTGGTCAGGCTGTTGGCGGCGGCGAGGGATCTGTACGGAGGAATATGATGTGTACATAGGCTCGGGGCGTACTGTGCCAGCTGCAGCCGCGTGGGGTCGATCAGCTGATGGTGGGCATGGGGGTGTTGCGGGGGGAGGGGTGGTGGGAGTTGGAATCCCTTGCCGGACAGGTCGAAGTGGTTCTGCAGCAGGGAGGAGGAGCTGGAAGGGGGTCAATGCTTAGGCTTAGGATTGGGCTTAGCTTAGGCTTAGTTCTTACTCACTTGGAAAAGTTGATCGACGGCGGCAAGGTGGTCGGAAGGGGACGTGGGGGTGGGGCTAAAAGCGGCGGAAGGGGCGCGGATAGCATTCCGGTCATCCCGAGAGGAGCCTGAAACGATGGGTAAGTCCTTGAACGCGTCGCGGGCGCGTTGAGCGTCGCGTGCGAGGGAGGGAGTGAGAGAGAGGGCGAGAGAGAGGGAGAGGGAGCGAGAGAGAGAGATAGCGGCTAGGGAGAACGAGAGGTAAATTCACGCTCACCTGTGTCAACGGATGCGGCAGCCCCAATTCTGTCGTACGCGGCGTGGTCGCGGGCGCGCCCGCGCCGCGCTGCTCGTCGTCGAGGCTCTCGCGGTACTTGCGCATCGCGTCGTCGATCACTGAGTCATCGGCGGAGGCTGCAAAAGGGCGCGTCAACAATCGTCGATAGTAAAGTAGCGAAAAAGATTGGGGGGTTCCGCCGGCGTGTTCGGGGCGCTTAACGGATGGCCCCGGCCGGCCCCCTACGGTCAGCGGCGCGGAACCGGGCGCGGGCAGCAAATCGGGTCAACGAAATTCGCGGCTTTTTTTTGTAAGTTTAGCGTTGTGTTCTGGTTGATTTTTACGAGGTACTGGGGAAAAAGGGTAGTTAATAGTTACAAGGAAAGTGTTTAGCGTAGCGTACCGGAAGAGGCTTTGCGGAACTCGCGGAAGAGGAGGGCCCCATAGTTCGGGTCGAGCTCCAGGAAGGCCGTCTCGGAAAGGCGCAGCATCGACTTGCCGTCAAAGTTGGCAAACTAAAAAAATGGAGAATTCGACTGAAAACTAGAATTTTTTCAAAAAAGACCCTGTGGGTTTTTGGAGGAGAGTACGCTTCACTACCCCACTTACGCGATGCATGTCCAGATCCTCGAACGGAATCTCATGCGACCGGGCGACGTCTAGCATCCAGGCGACGACGTCGTCTCGGCTCCATTCCGACGACTCTTTCACCCGGAATCCCGCCAAGTCAACGCTGAAAAAACGGTGGATACAGGAGTACGATCGGCGTGGTTAAAGTATTGCCCCGGAAATTTGAGGAAATCCGGAAATCGGGTTTTGTTTTTAGATTTTCCCTTGCTTGGCTCCAGACATGTAAGAAGAGAACGAGAGAGAAAGCGAGAGAGAGAGGACGAGATAGAGAGAAAGAGAGAGAGAGAGAGAGAGAGGGGGGGGTAAGAGTGAGCAACAGAACATACGTTTTCCTAGCATTTGAATAGCGGAGGAATGGGTGGGAACGCGACGGGGGCCCCCGTTCTCCCAGGCGGCCAACCTGGGCCAATAGCGGATCAAAAACCGGGGGCCCACGTCGCCGGGGGCCCCCACCACTGGGGCCCCAATTAATATTTGATGAGGAGCCCAAGCAGCAAAAGGGGCCCACCGCGCGGACTTCAGCTGCTGACCGCGCAAAGTTGGCCACTGGTGGGGGATAGAGTCTAGCAGGGATAATTGGGGGAATTTGGGAGGGAGGGTGTCAAGAAATTAGCGCTTGCTCGCTTTCTACCTCTCTCTTTCTCTCCCTCTCTCTCCCTCGCTCTCTCTCTCGCTGCCTCCCTCCCTCTATCGCTCTCTCTCTTTATCTCTCGCTTTCACCCTCTCTATCTCTCGCTCTCTCTCTGTCTCTCTCTCTCTCTCTCTCTCCTCACCGTTCATTGTTGGGGATGGGCTTAAAGTGGGCGGTGGTCATGTGTGGGCGAAGGATGTGGTGTGATGATAGGCTGGAGAGCAGCGACGGGATTGCCACCATCAACGGGGGGAACAGCGGCAGGGAAGAGCCCCCGTCAACCACCTGAAAATGGCAATTCTAGGATCCTTGAACAACCTTTCAATTAAACTTTTTTGGGCATAAAAACCTCGTGGCTGATTGGTAATGTGCTGGACTGGCATCGGTATGGTCTCGGTTCAAATCCCCACATGCCAGACTTTTTGCTTTTTGGGATATACGCCCAATAACTGAGCAAAAAAAGATGGAAACCCTCAAAAAATTGTGCGAAAACGTTCTAGGGAGGATTTTCGCCGCCTGCCCCAAAGGCCGGCGATTCCGAGCCACAACAAAATACGCAGCCAAACAAAACAATATAAAAATTTTTCAGGTTTTGGAGGCACTACGAGATGCTCCGGTCTACGTTTGCAGTGCATAAATCTACATTGCGGAGCCGGATTTCGGTAGTGGAAATTTTTGATTTTTTAACTCACCGGGGCCGGCGGCAAAGACGGGGTGGAGGGGAAAAACGAGGCCGCCGGCGATGATAGCCCCTCGATCGGCTGCTGGAAGAAGGTGAAAATTTTGTTTTTCATGAGATTCCAGGAGCTTGGGCTTGGACTTAGGTTTCGGCTTTGCTTAGGCTTAGGCTTAGGCTTAAGTTTCAGCTTGGCTTAGGCTCAGGCCTAGGCTAAGTCACTTGCTTAGGCTTAGGTTTAGACTTGGTCTTAGGTTTAGGCTTGGGCCTGGCTTACGCTTGGCTTTGGCTTAACCTTAGGCTTAGGTGCTTTGGCTAAGGCAGTGCTTAGGCTTGGGCTCAGGCTTACTAGTTAGGCTTACCTGATGCACGGTGCTCGATGTGGCGGCGAGCAGCGGGAGGGCCGGGTAGGCCGATGAGGGGCTGTCTGGAAAAATGTAGATTATTTCCTTGACTTCGCCAACAAAATCGCATTTTTTACATAAAAACATATAACCTTGAGGAAAAAGCTAAAACGCGCTGTTTTCAAACAATTTTTAGTATTTGTCACCCCTTTGGAGCCCAAAATCTGATTTCTGGCATTAAACCAATATCCTGCAAAAAAATGCAAAAACATTTGCAACGGTGCGCCGGGGCCAAAAAAGCGGAAAGGTGGGGGCCCACGTACTAATCTTTGGCGTCTAAGCTTGTTGGGCCCCCACCGGAAACGCCGCAAAAAACGGCGGCAGGTGGGAATCCGGGAGGATTACGGCATCCGTACGGAGGAGTGGAGTGAAATTCGAGGATTTGATCGTGAAATTTAGCTGATTTTTCAAGGCAGCTGATAATACGTGAAAAGCGAGCTTGAAAGCTTGGATATTAGAATGAAAAATCAAAATTCCTTGATTGTTTTTTGGTTTTTAGCAGGTTCCGATCTTGTACTCTGCATGTATGCTTCTAAGCAAGATTGAAGGAGTTAGAAATGGGAAAAAAATGGAGAAGGCTTTGGAAAAGTTGGGTTCGCTCGCTATCTAATTCGAAAAAGTTTAATTGAAAGAATTCCCAACTGGGCAAAAAGGGGGCAAAAGCTCCCGGAAAATGACTGGGCCCTGGCTGGGGCGGAAGGCGGGGGAAATCTGGCAGAGGGCCAAGGGTGGGAAAAATTAATGGAACCCGGTTACGGCAGGTAAAAAATAGGAAGAACAATAAAACTTAAAACATCTGAAGAAAATAACCGCTCAGAAAACACTTAAAAATCTACAAAAATTTAAAAAATAGAGATTTCTGTGCAAATTAGGTCTTCAAAAGCATAGAACTTATAATTAAACCAGCGCCCAAAACCCGCTTCGCGGGCCTTGGGCGCTGGAATGCGGCCTTTGCATCAGAAATTTGACTTCCCGATAGCTTGGGTCCTTCGGACCCCTCCCTTCATCCGACCACACACGCGCGTGCAACTTGCAAGAATGAGGAAATTTGTATTTTTTGGAATTATGCAAAGTAGCCCTCCCTGGCGCCGGACACACACACACACAAAGATACGCGACCAAATTATATAAGGTAGGATTATGTCAATTTCGGCATGGTTCCAAAACCGAGGAAATCCTTCGCAACGCCAGGGCAATGAACCAAGCCGGAAATCAGGTTCAGTGCCGCTGCACCGGGACTCGAAAAGGTGTCTTTCTCTCCCTCTCCCGCTCTCTCTCTCTCTCTCGCTCTCTCTTTCTCTCTCTCTCGCTCGCTCGCTCACTCCTCCTCGCTCTCTCCCTTTCTGGGGCATTATTCATACCGCCCGGGGGGTAGATCAGCGCGATAAGAAGCCGGGCAACAGCCGGAGATTCCCCCAATTTTATAGCCAATCAACTTTTTTTAGGCAACTTTAATGGAATTTCAAAGTCCAAAAAGTTCGCCGATTGTTTATTGATAATCCGGATTGTTTATAGATTTAATTTGCAGTCCCACTTCCAACTTTGAAGCGCCGAAAATCAGTTCCCCGTCTGTAAGCCGAGCGTTCCGGCAATCAAAAAAGAGAAAAAAAATCAGGAAATGGCTGAAAACCATTAAGAAAACGGGGACGATGGAAGCTGGGAGCTAATTTGTGTAACTCCTAGCTCCCATCACCCCACTGGGCCCTAAAATTCGAAAACCGGACCCGGAATGCTACCGGAATAGAGCAGAGTCAAGAGATCGTAGTTTTGGAGCAAGAAAAGCCCAAAATGCAGACACGAATGCGCGACTTTCAAAATACCGACAACAGCGAAAGTGCTAACATGAAAATGCCGAGAAGCGAAAGCTTTTAAAAAGCGGTAAGCTGAACTGCTAGAGATAGAATAGAGAGAAAGGGCGCGAGAGAGCGTGAGCGAGAGAGAGAGAGAGAGAGAGAGTGAGAGTGAGCGAGAGCGAGAGCGATGGAGAGAGAGAGAGTGAGAGCCAGATAGAATTCTAGAATTCTCTTAACCTGCCTATGGCCAGAAAAAGCCAAAATCTGCCAACAAAATTTGGGAAAATCACCAAAACCCGCTTCCACCCAAAACAAGCAAAAACTCGGCAAAAAATACACTTTACTGGAAATGGCTGATGGGCAAGTTGTTGATAGGGGGAGGAGGAGTAAGATGATGTGGGTGGAGGGGTTGGGGTAGAGGAGGGGATCGATCTGAGGGACGAGGACGAGGAGCAAGAGAAGAAGGAGAAGGAGGGCCCGAAATGATCAAAGAACGGGCCAACCAGAGAAGGGGCCAACGAGAGGGCCCACAGGGAGAAGAGAAATATCGCTGCCTCTCGCTCGCTTTTTCCCTCAATCTCTCTCTCTCTCTGTCTCTCTCTCTCTCTCCCTCACTCCCTCTCGCTGTTGGCAATACAAATCCTGGAGAAGAGCCAATTAGGGTTGGGGGTTGCGATAGGCTGCGAGTCGAGAATTTCTGTGAGTCCGGAGCCCTTCAAGGGGCTATGAGACTTAAGCCTAAGCCGAAGCCTAAGCCTAAGCCTAAGCTTATGGTAACCCTAAGCCCAAGCCCAAGCCCAATCCGAAACAGAAGCCGAAACCTAAGCTAAGTCTATGCTTGAGCCTAAGCCTAGGCGAAGCCCAACCCCAAGCCTAAGCCAAATCCTAATCCAAGCTTAGGCTTAACCCTAAGCCCTAAGCTAAGCCTGAACCTAAGTCAAGCCTAAGCCTAAGCCTAAGTTTCAGCTTAAGCTGGAACCCAAGTAGCTTAATCCAAGCTTAACATTGAATACATAAGCAATGCGGGCGCAACGCGCCTCGCCTCAGCCAGGTGTCACACTCCCTTTAAACCCTTGCAACGCTCTCTGCAACCCCCCTAATTGGCTTGGATAATCCGCGGCTCTGGGAGTTTTTCTATGTGGAATTCCCCCCAAGCGGCCATAATCGTTGATCCCCGAGAAAATTGCAGACTCTCCCCGGTCCGTCCTACCGCCACCCCACGCTAATTATATAATCTTGCACACACCCTGAAGGGCCCCTCGTCACACACCGCTTTTTTGGGCCCCGCCGCCGAGCCTTTGGACCCATCCCTTTCAGCGCGGATCGAGCGTGCAAAACCCATGCCGGGGGTCCCGCCGCGAAATTCTGCTGCGGATGGCATGGGAATTGCAGGAAAAAAGTTTTTATTTGGCCTTGAATCGGTTAGAAGCAAGAATTCAAAAATCAGGATGGCTTTGGTTCTTTGGTATTATCGGGGGGGGGGCAAGCTTGTTCTTAGAATTCAATTTATCAAATCCAAAAGTGCGCAGGTGTTTTTTTGCATGAAAAATCGCAAATCCCCCCTCTGAAGCCTTACAGGACATTTGCGTGTTCTTTCGTTGGAGTTCAGGTTCAAAATCCCCGCATCGAAGTAACAACTTCTCCGTGAATTCGAATCGGGAAGCCCCGCTACGAACTTTCCGGTCGAGCCCGGAGTATACGGTAGCCGAGCAGAGATTATGCATATGGTTTCGGGGGTGAAAGCTAGGCTGGGTGGCTAATTAAAGACCTTTTCTGGAATGCTAGCAGAGACGCTTTGGGGGAATTCGGCGAACTGAGAGCTTGCGGGTGGGGAGGACGAGATTGCTGCGGCAGAGTGAGTAACTGAGCGAGAGCGAGGGTAGCACGAGAGGGGAGGAAGAGAGAGATCGAGAAAAGGAGACATAGATGGAGTAAGAGCAACATAACGAGAGATAACGAGAAGTAGAGAGCTAAGGAGGGAGGGAGAGAGAGAGAGAGTAGGAGACACAAATTGCGGGAGAGCGATAGAGCGAGAGAGACCGAGAGGGAGAGACACGAATTGCGGGAGAGCGATAGAGCGAGAGAGACCGAGAGGGAGAGGCAAATTCTTAGGAAATTTTGCCCTCCGCTTACTGTAGCCCTACTGTCAACTCCACCGTCTTTTATACCCCGTTTCCGTAAACAACCCCTGACGGTATCACAAAAATATTAGGGCCCAAAAAACCCATGATCAAGCCGTGATTTTTGAGACTCTCCGATTCGAGGGACTAGCGGGTGATCGGGGGAGACGGTACGATAATCTGGATATCTGTGGCTGAGGGCACCAGAAAACAAACAAACAAGTGGCCATTAGGGTCCAAAAGCGGAGGGGGCTTACTGTGAATCCTGGATCGCTACAAAAACAATACGAAGGTTGTGAATTGACAGGGGGGGGATGAGCTGAGTGGTTATTGGTAGGCAAACGTATCGTAGCGATACTTGTGTGTTTTCCGTAGATTTTTGAATTTTGGGGTATGGTAGGTGGCGAGTGAGAGAGAGTGAGAGAGAATGACAGGGAGAGAAAAAGAGAAACAGCAACAGTGAGGGAGACAGAGAAAGAGAGAGAGAGAGAGAGAGAGAGAGAGAAAGAGAGAGAGAGGGAGTGAGTGACAGACGATAGGGGGGAGACGTGGGTGAGAGAGTGACAGAGAGAGAGAGAGAAACAGTAGCAGAGAGAGAGCGAGCGAGCGAGAGAGAAAAAGAGAGGGAGAGCGAGAGAGAGAGCGAGAGAGAGCAAGGGATTCAGCGCAAATGCTTATAACGGAGCGCTACAGTTTAAATTTCAACGCGTAATGCATTTCGGGCTCAAATTAACAGTTTTAGTATTTTTTTTTGATGATCTATGTAATGGCGTCAAAAAATCCGGAAAAATAAGCGCAGGCCTCGAAATTTTTGGGACAATCGGGCGTATTAATTCGGAAGGTGCGCCCCGAAAACTTTTGCCCGTGCCATACTTGGCTATGAGCCAATTTACACGTCGTGCGGCGCGTGGAGAGGTGCTAGCCGACCAGTGATCAGACACTAATGGGGGGTGAAGCCGTGTTATGCCCACTCTCAGCCGCTCATAGCTCTAATCCCTCGCGCCGCCCCCCCCCCCTGCCCCCCATGATTGTGTTGATTCGGCGGTGGGCGGGGTCCGGAGTGATGAAGCCCAGATTTGGCCTCGCAGTCATACATATCAATGGCCAATGGAATTTGGGATTTTGAGGGGTGGATTAGGATGTTTTAAAAGGGAGCAAGAGAGCGAAAGAGAGAGAGAAAGAGAAAGAGAGCGGGAGCGAGAGAGAGACAGAGAGAGAGAGAGCGAGAGAGAGCGTGAGAGTGGGAAATAGTGAGCGAGAGAGAGCGAGAGAGTGGGAAAACGAGAGAGAGAGAGGGAGAGAGAGAGAGAAAGAAAGAGAGAGAGAGAGAGAGAGAGAGAGAGAGAGAGAGAGAGAGAGAGAGAAAGAGAGCGAGAAAGGGCGAGAGAGCAAATGAGCGAGGGAGCGCGGGCGAGAGGGCGAGAAAGCGTCGGAGTGAGAGAGAAATGCAGAGAGACAGAGCCAGATGCAAAGAGAGCGAGAGAGCGAGTGAGAGAGAATGAGAGAGCGAGAGCGTGAGAAAGTGAGTAAGGGATGGAAGGGACAACGATAGTAGCAAAGCCAATTGCGCAGGCAGTAAAATAGTCGCACGGAAAATTCCGATCCGGAAAAGATTAAAAATGCATTTACCAGGGCAAACAAGCAGAGTTTCTTTGTGGAATCGTTCACGAAAAGGAAGAAAAGCTTTTCGGGAAGTCTGGCCAAAATAAAGGCCGTCATTCGATACACCCCACTCCACTCCACGCTAATCCGGGGGGCTCATGAAAAATCGGGGCATATATTTGTTCCGCGGAGACGTTCCGGGAATTCGCGTGTGTCTACAGGGGGTCACGGCCCGGATTACGGTAATCGCCCGCCGGCGGTAGACTGGAGCATGACTTAAAAATGGGAAATGTTTGGGGTGGACAAAAGAACGCGAGCCATAACATTGAAAAATTTCGCACAATACGGTTGTCCAAATCGCAAATCGGGCAAAACGGCACAAATTCCGTTTAGCTACGCTATGCTACGGTGCTCAAATTCTCATTGTTCTACCCCCCTTCTGCGCTTCCGCGCTAAAATTTCACCCATTCTGCCCCGTTACGGCATCACAGGTTAAAATGTAGACAAAAAGCTTCGAGCTACAGTAACGAGAAAAACGTGTAAAACACCACCTACCGTATCCGGGTGGCAGTTGGGCGGCGATCGCGCGCGGCGACGCCAGAGCTGCTAGGGCCCCGCTGTCCAGCCTGGCACGACACCTTGCTACGGTATATGGTAGCAATCCAGGGAGAGTATTCCGAGGGTGTACGGTGGTCCACACACGGCTCAGCCGACGCTCCCGCTCATTGATGGGTCGCTGAAAAACTGGAGGAATCCAAGGTGGTTTTTGAGTATCGTACACCAAAAGGGAGCGAGAGAGAGAAAGAGAGCACCACAGAGCGCGCGCGCGAGAGAGAGAGAGAGAGAGAGAGAGAGAGAGAGAGAAAGAGCGTTGAAGCATAGGCTGCTTAGGCTTAGCTTATGGTAACTAAAGCTGGGCTCAGCATAGGTTCAGCTTAATTGCAAAAAATCAGCCTTTCCTAGAAGCTTAGCGCTTCGAAGTAACGCGGGCTCCCTGAGATCGTGCGTGTCGAACATTACCGGAGCAACATAGCGCCCCATTTTTGGCCCCTAATTGTCGGGTCTGAGAATATGGGGTCCCAGAAAGAGGGGCCCAAGATAGGGCCCAGAGAAAGCGTCGAAATTCCCCCGGGGCCAGTGTCAATTTGTGTGCCGGGGCTGGCCTGTGGAATTATCGAGTTGAGCGATATTCGGGTCTAGACGGGCAGTGGAGTGGCCCAGATCGCATCACCTCCGACCTAATCCGACGGAAATCGGGTGGGGGGCACATTTTAGGCATCTCTGCGGCTGATTTCCGGTCGATTTTGGATCATTTTCGGATCTACGGGCATCGGGTACAAACCAAAAAACAATCTTTGCAAATGTAAGATTGGAACACCAAAAACCGGCGAAAAATTACGGTAGCCAGAGGGCCATTTTGGGTTTGAAGGGAGCGCGACATGCAAAATTTTTCGTATGAAATTAGCATAAAATCGAGAAAAATACCGTGACCAAAGCGCTAATTTTGAGTTTGAAGGGAGAGCGACTGCCGGCCGTGTTTTCCGAAAAAAAACTACGGTATCCCGGGCGCCAGTTTTGGTTTTAAAGGGAGTGTGACAGGGTGATTTCTTTGCTGAAAAACTCCCATTAAATCGGCAAAAAAATACGGTAGTTAATTTGGGTTTATAGGGAGCACGACTGAGAAAATTCTTGTGTAAAAATTAAAAATACCCGGTGGCAATATACCGTAACCGGGAGTTTAAAGGGAGTGTGACAGGGACCGGAAGGTCTTGTGTGAAAAACAACCTAAAACTGGCAAAAAAATTCGAAGGCGGGTCCATTTTCAAGAGAACGTTACAGCAGCCGGGTTTATCCGCGTCTTTACGCAGAAAAATTAATGAAAAATCGCGTAGTATACGGTAGCTGGGGCGCTATTTTCGGGTTGAGCGAATCGATTGAAAAATAGCGCGGTATGCGATGGCCAGAGCGGCGTAGGTAAACTGTCTAGACCTTGTTTTCAAACAGCGGCCGCTAGCCGGCAATTTTCCGGCGTTTTCCTCTTGACGACGACTTGAATGCGGTAATTAAGACATCAAATGGCAACACTGACGTTTTTCAACTCCGTGATTGAGCGCGCTCATGATTTTCTGGGCCTTAAGATACATAGTTTTTCGCTTTCAATCAATTTAAATTTTGCAAAAAAAAGCTAAAGAACATACAATTAAATTACTAGGAAATTCTGGGCTCTTCGGAAAAATTCTCCTCCCCCCGGTAATGGGAAAGATCCGGAAAATTACCAAGGTCTTATACAGCCCATAAATCAAGCCCGCCAACACCTTTTGTGTCGGGGAAGTTGGATGGGGGGAAATGTGTCTTTTTCTTGTTTAGCCCCGTTGAAACGGTGGCTGGTTATCAGAAAGGAGAGGGGGAAGCGGAAGGTATTTACTGGGGACGACGATTTTTCTCGCTCTCTCTCTCTCTCTTTCTCTCTCTCTCTCTCTCTCTTTCTCGCTCTCTTGCTCTCTATCGCTCCCTTGCTCTCTCGCTCTTTCTCTCTCTCTCTCGCTCTTTTCTCTCTCTCTCTCTCTCTCTCCATCTTCTTTCCGCACCTGAATCGAAAAAAAGGAACGGATCGCGTGCGAGAGCGAGAGAGAGAGAGAGAGAGAGAGAGAGAGAGCGACGACTTTTGGCACTTATCAACACACCCAAATATTGATTCAAATCCCCGGGTCAACCCCAGGCACAGAACAAGGCCGTACGTGAATGTACTGTTGACGATTTGCGAAAACCGTTTTTCACCGGAAGTCCGGAGTTGCGGGCGGGGTCGAAATTTTGAGTTCCTGATTTTAGAGCCAGCTAGGGTATTTTTGAGAAATTAAAAAGACCCCTAAAAGCTGTCAAGGTTTATCAAACTTTTATTCGTAATTCCTTACTAGGGAATGGTCTCCACTCGACATCGAATTTCTTGTTGCAAGTTAGCTCATTTTGTAGATCTCGACGAGACGAATCGTTTGATGTAACTT